GAGACGCAAGAAGAGGGTGAATTTGGACCACCAAGCTTAAAATGTGCAAAAAAACTCCAGAGCCATTATTCAACTACAAATTCACAGCATAGGTAAAAGTCACAGAGGTCTGAAGATAGCAATTTGTTGGTAGCATCAACAAAGCTAACAACATACTAGTAATGGGTTGGTATATTTAACCATTAATCTTCTCTATTGTGCAGTAGTATTTTTATTGGACCATTAGTATTTCTGAAAATGACTTATCTATACTTTAGCGTGATCTGTAAATAGGACTGTCGGATTGCATCAAGGTAATGATCAGAGAGTCTGCCCTCTTGTCTCAATGTGTTTCCCACCATTCATGTGGCACAGATATGCTTTCACAAGAGACTAGGATTCACATGTAAGGAATGTTTGCTAGATATCCACACTAAGCCTGTAGACCACTGTTAACATTTTCATTTGCTGCAACCTCCAGATTCATTCTTCTCACATGCAATCAGCTCACTTTGATGAGAGTGAATTATAGGTCTTATTATGGTAGATAATATAAAACAACGAATACAGATACATCTTACTCCTATACGCACCCTTTTGTCTATGAGGAGTTATCCTACATTTATCCATAACATATAATACACACATTAGTTTATACAAATATTTATGCCCCATAAGTACAAATAAATCCTTATTTCAAAGCACAGAACTAATACGACAGAAGGCAGTTAGACTGTTGGGTCACAATCCTGCAAAGTTTTACACAGATGGTTAAATGTTACAAATTGAGAGTGCCATTGACTTCAGTGTGACTTCACATAGCGTGTGCCATTAAGCAAATGCTTAAGGTTTTATAGGATCAGGGCCTTGCACTGTATGGGCACAGTTCAGAGACCAGAGCCATGCTCTCCCTACACTTTACACATGCCATCTACACTACCTGTTTTCTGCTGCTATTATCTCCTCAGACTGACAACAGAAACTGGGGAAGAGTGGGGAATGGAGTATAGTACGGTACAATTAAGATGCTTTCTCTCCCCCCGTCCAACTCCTTCCCTTTCCTGACTGTACATTCACCATGAAGTTGCTCACTGACATATATTAAACTCTTTCAAAAAGAACAAAGAGAGGAAGGATAGGAGAAAATGGAAGTGACGGGAGGAAGGGAAAGAAAAAAGCAAACAGAGGAAGAAGTGGGAGGCAGATAGGAAAGTGGTGAGGACAGTTTTCATGGTCCAAAATCTCTTGGCTCTTCATTTCCCAGAGAAGCTTGCAGCAGAAATATTTCAAAACTATTTTTTTAAAAGAATAACAAAGAGCTTATCCAAAAGATAAGTTTTACAAACAAAAACAGAAGCCCTTACATGCATTCCAAGTGATTTAAGAGTCCTTTCTCCCAGATGCTTTTGAAAAGCCCCTGTTCTTTAAGGAGAGTGAAGGGGGTAGAAAAGCCAAACTGCCCCTTTGCAGAGATTACAACTATGAAATTCATAATGATTTCAATTTATGAAACCCTTCATGGTTTGGAATCCTGTGTATATTTTATATACCCTTTCTCCCTGTGTTTTACTTACACAAGTATCAATAACCCATCTGAGGGCTGGGAATTCTCAATCTGGATCTCAATTTATAGCTATAACTCAGCAATAAAACTGAGAGCCATATTTATACAGTTGCAAGTGAGCTACTCTAAAATGAAATATAATTGCCAAACAGATGACCCCAGTGGCATATAGGTATATCTCCATAGGTTATATAAAAAGAAGAACAGGAGTACTTGTGGCACCTTAGAGACTAACAAATTTATTAGAGCATAAGCTTTCGTGGACTACAGCCCACTTCTTCTAATAAATTTGTTAGTCTCTAAGGTGCCACAAGTACTCCTGTTCTTCTTTTTGCGGATACAGACTAACACGGCTCCTACTCTGAAACCTATCAAATTATTTAGAACTCGTCAGTCACATGTTTTACTTTCAAAATACTGCTGAAAGTTAACAATGGAGCTGAGACGTTATTTTCAGTACATATGCAGCTCATCCTGGTTTTTAATTCTGAGG